TGTGTGTGTGTGTGTGTGTGTGATGTAGACCAAAATACTGTCCTCATGTGCACAACTCTGTCCTTTGCAAACAGGGGTGGGGGCTATGTCCCTTTGATTTCGCAGGGATTTGGTGGAAGGTGGACATGTCTGCCATGTCAGATACTCCGTCCCCACAATGTGTCAGCCCCCTCTCACCCCCTCCCCATGTCATTCCTGTCCCATCCCGCCTGTAGGGTCCTGCCCTTTGTCCTGCTGGTCTACTGGGTGGACTGGTCTGAGGCGCTTGAACCTCCCTGGCGTGACTGGAGGCCTCTGAGGTCCATCCACCCTTTGGCTAGGAGTCCTGGGGGTATAGTGAGTGAAGCATGGGGCTGCTCACCACAAGGTCAGCAGTTCAAAACCAGCAGCCACTCTGAGAGAGAAAGAAGAGGCTGCCTGGTCCTGTAAAGAGTTATGGCGTCAGACAACCAGGGGAGCCCTCTACTCTGTCCCACAGGCTCACTGTGAGTTGGCGGCGAGTCTGGGGTTTTGAGTGGACTGTTTAGCTGGAAGTGAGTAAGGACCACTACATTTGGCCCACAGCTGACACTCACTCACAAGGTGGAAGTAGCCAGTCCACGCGGCTCAGCTCTCAGCCAGCAGCAGGCCTGTCGGGTGCACAGTCACCCCCTCCCGAGACAAAAACACCCAACCAGGCGGTTGTCGATGCTTATCCCCCATCCAGGTCTGCACTTCTGATGTTCTGTTCCCGAAGGCCCCTCATTCTTTAATTGACACCGCGTGGAACAGCAGCTCAGTGCCCTCCTGGGGGCTCAGACCGTGAGCTGCTTTTTCAATGTGCTTTGAATTTGGGGAACAATAAGACACCTGAAGGGGCAGGACCAGGGTTGCAGGGGGTGGGGCGGGGTGAGGCCTCTTAAGGACATTCTCGTAAGATGGCCCACGCTGCCCTCGGAAGCACAAGAAGAAGGCCCCCGGAAACATGAGCTGTTTGTTGGAAAACATTCCTGGGTTTTTGTTTGTTTTTCTCGCTGATGCCCATGTCTGATTCTCTAAAAACCTGTTCCCAATCAGCCCCCTGATAGTCCTGTGTCCTTGGAGAAAAATCTACCAAGATGACCCCTTGGGAACCTAAACTACTAATACATGATCTGAGCTGCCCCCCTGGGAAGCCCTGCTTTGATCGGGCCTTTCTCTGGAGCACCCCACCACCGCCACATGCGTGCGTGCTCGGCCTGGATGTGCTGTGTGTGGGAGGGAGGCCTGCCAGCAGCTGGCTACCACGGGCCCCACACCTGTTTCCAGTTGGCCCTTTGGTCAAACTCAAGCCTCGGGGGTTCACTTCTGGCCCTCAGACGTGGCACATGAGCTCTGGGGGGCTCCAGCAGGGTGGTGTACAGGCAGCCAGAACCCGGCCGTTTCAAAGGTCTAAGCCACCCTGAGGGCCCTGAGAGCAGGGCGGGGCCCAGGCTGAATTACCAAGTGCAGCGGTCCTGGCGGCGGGCTGGGAATCAAAGAGAGTTTTGCAGCGAATTCTTTTATATGATCATCAACTTCAAAATCCTTACAGAGTTTCAGGTGAGGCAACAAACTGAATGTGGAAAAAAACAAACAATAAATTTAATTAAATTACCAGAATTAAAATCAAACGGGATGCTTCACACGGGCAGGATTTATGGTGATGGAAATGTTGCC